AGTATATAAGTACCCCCCCAGGCACTTCACGATTCATTATTCAGGAGGCAGTAGTCTTCAGGATTCGGGAGCAGCACTCCGGAGGGAGCGCTGCAGAGTAGTAGTAGTAGCGTTAGCTTGTAGTCTTCAGCGCTGGGCGCAGTAGGTAGCTGTAGTCTCCAGCGCTGGGCGCCATAGCTAGGTAGTACTAGAGAGAGAGAGAGAGAGAGAGCTTGGGCGGAGGCCAGAGGTACTTACCTGCAACGCCGTTGCTCCAGCTTCGTCTTCGAGGTACCTGCAGCACAGCGCCAACATCACAGGCTAGTATCTGGCTCGTAACAGTGAGAGAGAGAGAGTTCTTCTTCTTCCTCTTCTCAGTCCACCATCTCCTTCTCCCCCTCTCAACTTCTGATTTCAGTGCATCTGCAGACTACGAGAGAAGAGAGACAGAGCTTGGTGACATTGGATCCAGACTCGACTTTTGGGACTTCAGACATGGCAATGAGGGATTATTTGGGATTGGTGASAAAGACTTGGTGTTGACGACATTCCCACCTCTCTCCCTCCTTTCGTCTGATCCCTTCCTCTTTGTCTGTGTATGTCTGGACCTGGCGCTCTCTTCCTGTGTACAGCACCAGGCTCCTTCACACCTGGTGATGGGTACGATGTATGTTTGGTCTGAGTTCAAACGTTGATTGGACTAGTTATTAGTATTCTAGCATTCTGCTTCGCTACGTTGTACTACGTGAATGAGGTCGGTCCCGGTCAGGTCAGTCTTTGTATCAAAGTCTTCCCTGCGCTATTCAGCACCTTTTGTATGTATGAGAATGCACATTGTCTGTCGAGATTCTACTCGCACCGCGTTGTCCATTCTGTCCTTTTCATCACATTGCAGATCCTCGGTTATTACGTACATCACGTATCTGTGCATGTAACAGTTGGTATCAGAGCTTTGCACGTGAATCAGGACAACCTGATCTGACACGTATGCGGGGACTAATTAGCTGGTTAGTCTTTATTGATTGATTAGAACACAATAGTTAGACCCCAAAATCACGATTTTGACCTCGCTACCGAAAATCGATTTTTTTTTTTTTTTTCTTTTCTTGGATCTTATTTTCTCGCTGTTCTGTTGTAGAAAATCGCAATATCGCAACATCTGAAATTCCCATTTTCGTTTTTCTTCTGAAAATTCGAAATTTCGCTGTTGAAAATCCGGAATATTTTTCTTTTCGAAAATTTCGATTTCCTGTTGCATTTCCCGTTACTTAGAAATTCGGAATGTTTTCTTTTCTGAAATTTGTTTTTCTGAAAACGGTACCGGAAATCCCTCCTGTGGTATTATTCTTCAAACTGCGAATATTCTCATCGGAATAAATCCGAATACTTGTCATTTCTATTCGGAAWTTTTTTGCAGTTMTGGGATTGTGTCGTTCAGTTCTATAAATCATAAGCAGTCTAAAGGTGAAAATTTTTTTGCTCTTTCAGTGATCATTTCGCACTTCAAGGGAGGTTGGGAGACCTACCGAACTTGCAAAAATCAGGATTTTTTACTTTTCTCGATTTTTTTTTTGCAAAGTTCAAACTTTTTTTGTTTGATTAGTGGCTCCTTATCTAAGTGATTAGTTGGGCGATTATCCCACCCGCCCCTCCCCACCTATGTTGTTGCCAGCTCTCCCCTTACCTTCTCTGCTCGTCTCCGGGTACCCCCTGCGGCGGCATTGGTGAGTTGCCACGTCCAGTAGGCCACGTCAGGAGGATACGTCGGCAGCAAGGGCTACCACTTCAGCAGTCCCCGGCCTGGTCTATGCTATTGCRGTCTCATACAGCAGTCATGGACCAGTGGCCCGGAGAAGCGGACGAAGCCTATCAGGMCCGCATGCTGGCGTGGAGTACCGAGACAAAGAAACGGGCAGATGACGCTGCCGCAGCAGCGAAGAAGAAGGCAGAGGATGCCGAGCAGGCACGTCTGCTGGCACTTGAACAACAGCGCCAGCATGACGAGGCARCAGCAAGGGCTGCCGGTGAAGAAAGGAACCAGCGTYGCGAGAAGATATATACCGGAGAGCGGGCGGTACTTACAATGGCAGCGGAATGGCGGACCGAAGCGGAGGATGGCAAGCTGGAGGATAGCGCAAACAAGATCGCACTCCTCCTCTCGCACCTCACARACCTCCTGGCAACCTGCATTACACAGCAGGCGGAGATCCTCGGTCTCGACACCTCGCTAGCTCACGTCCAAGACCGCCTTCAGCGGTTGGAGCAGCGACCAGTCGCCGCCGCCGACGCAAGCTCTTCCAATGCTGCCGACCGCCTCAACGCATTGGAGATGGACGCCGGCTCACTCAAGGATGGCGTGCAACTACAGCAGACCGCGACGCAACAGTTGCAACAGCGGATCTGCACTACTGCCACCACCTCGAGTTCAGAACCGCGCGAGACAACTCCAAAGTTCGACAGGCAGGAGATCTTCTGCGATTCAATGAAGACAAATCCGATTCCATGGTTCCGCAAGTTYGAGCTCACGCTGCAACTGTCCAACGTCAAAGAACACAAGCACCACGCATACTTGTACTCTCGTTCAGGGGGCGCGTGCCAGGATTGGTTGGACAACCTCTTATCCAAGTACGGAGTAGTAGCAGCCGACTTGCACACCAAGATCAGTTGGGATGATCTGAAGGCGGCGTGGCACAAGCGGTTCTAGGTGGAGCCGCCAGAGATCTGAAGTACGGACTGGATCGCCGAATACCAACGCTTGACGTCAGTCCCAGACATCCAGATGGGCTTCAAAGCCATCCGCCATTACTTCATCTCAAGGTCMTGTCCGACATTAAGCAATGCCCTGACGCATGTTGAGGACACCTTGACGACGACGACAGAATTGTTTGACAAGGCCGCGCAGATCATCATCACGAACAAGGAGGCCAAGAACCTCCGTTCATCTTCGTTTGGCCCGAGCAGGGACCAGCATCGGCCAAGAGTGGCCGTGGTCGCAGCGGCAGCGCCGCTGGACCAAACCAGCGAGGCTGTGTCTGCCGGTGAAGGGGACAGACTCACAGCCATCTAGAGTGGAAGGAATGGCACAATTCGGAAAAAACGGACATACAACCGAGACTCTGCAGGGGTCTAAGAAGGGCCTGAATTCAGAATTGAAGAGACTATCTGACAGTATAGTAACCTCAGGCTGGGAGCAGAACGGGCTTCCAACGGGCATCATGTTCAATTGAAGCAGCCAACCCTCGATCAAGACCGAGTGACAAGGTCTGGTTTCAGGGACGGAGGAATGAAGAAGAGTCTAGGGAGAGACAGCAGACTGAGTTGACGTCAGCAGTGAAGAGCACAGGCAGAGAGGGCCTTTGCAGGATAGAGCTCTCAGTGGTCTGCACGGATTCCAGTTCTATCAAGTCAAGCTGGCACTGAAGAGAGCCAGGCAGTCTATCCACTATTAAAATAGAGAAATCAATGCTGACCAGGGATCCTTCGGCCGACGGAAGGAGGCTTATGTAAGTTTCCTGATGTACATTTACGACTTGCCGGTGGAAAAGGAACCGGACTGATGCTCCCGAGAATGTGGACTTCCTCTGGCAGCATTCTGAAAGTGAAGTTCACCAGAACACAACCAAGCCTCATCATGACTGTACCACACCTGACCCCTACAGACTACATGCATTTGCATTTTTGGACACTTTCTGAACGCTATGCAGTTCGGATGTTGGACTCGTCCAAATGCATATGGTCTAGAAAGCATCCAAATCATACTTGCAAGCGCACGTCGTGTGCGAGTTTCCCGACGTCCAGCTCACGGGCCCGACCGTTCCCGCGCGGCGCACGAGGTGTGCGGGGAACAGCCCGACCCCCCCCCCCCCCCCAAAAAAAAAAAAGGCAGGGGTCGAAACGGCATCGGAGGCCCCCCGCCAAAATTGTTGCGAAGGCCAAAAAATTTGTTTTTCGGATCGCGCTCAAGGCCGGACCGCGAGGTTTCGAATTTTCGAAACCTGTTTCCAGTTCTTTCTACTCCGTGTGGGGTTGGCTGGGCCTCTTGGGTAGGTGTGTGGTCGGTCACGGCCATTCCTGCGAGGAGTGCCGTTGCCATTTCAAGGAGGAGCTGCCACCATTCTCAAGTGCCGCCCCGTGCTGCCGTGCTGCCGTGCTGCCCTGTGAGGGAGGAGCT